TGGCCAAAGCCCACGGCCAGTGATAAGAATTTAGAAACACCTTTCCAGCCCAGCAGGCTCCCAGCTTTCCTGTTGCTCCCTTTGAAGGAATCCTTAAGGTGGGAATTTGATGTGACCCACACACTTTTCCCCGGTTTATACAGGTAGCTGCCATGCTCTCTTCTCTCTCCCTGTCTGAGCTCCCTGACCTCCGTGTATGTGTGTGGATGGGGTGGGGGGAGGCTCTAGGCTTGCCCTGTAACCCCCAGGGTCTGTAAGTACTAAAACTCTTAAAGTTTCAAACATGGTTGTATCATTGAAGCAGTTGACCCCTGAAGGTGAAGCACCCTGAATAGACCCACGCAGGGGGATCCCTGCTGGTCCTCTTTTGTCTGGGTCTTCAAAGTAATTACACTATTAATTCAATTACTTTAATAGTTCCAGACCTAGTCACGTTTTCTCTCTTCTTGGGTCAGTTTTGATATTATTCTACGCAATTATCAATACCATTTACCTTTAGAAAATTTTGACATACATTTATTGCATTTTTCAATCTCTACTGCAAATATTTCTAAGATTGCTAAAAGAAATCTTTGTTTTTTCCTTTGTAAATCTCCTCAGAGGATTTTTTTGTTCCTGCTTATAAGGCTTTTAAAACATGCTTTTGGTCTCATTGGCGTTTATATTTCATTCCACACCCACCAAATTCATTAGTTTCTGTTCTTATTTTTTTTTTTTCCTTTTACTTTCTCAAAGTACTACTTTATATATGCAACTCATATGTCTTATCATGAAGTATTTTCCTGTCTCATTATTGTTTTTAAATTTCCATAATAAATAAGTTCAGGAGATCTACTTTACAACATGGTGACTATAGTTAATAACAATATATTGTATATTTGAAAACTGCTAAGAGAGTAGATTTCTCATCACAAAAAATAGTAAGTATGTGAGGTGATGGCTATATTAATTAGCGTGATTTAGCCATTCCACAATGTATACATATTTCAAAACACCATGTTGTACACCATAAATATATGCATTTTTTATTAGCCGATTAAAAAAATAAACAAAAACAAAAATTAAAATAATAAAATAAATTTGGTTTTGATTCACCCATTTATTAATGTATAAGGGAAAATACATGAAAAAAAGAGAGATTCACTTCGTAAGATCAAGAAATATGTATTCTCTTTTTAAATTTGAAATAAACTAAGAGTTTTAAACAAACAAATAAATTTCCATGAAGACATGTTTGATCCATAAACTATTTAGAAGTATGTTTTAAAATTTCTAAATATTTCATGACTTTATATGATTCTTTGCTGTTATTCCTTGTGATTCACTGAATATAATCTTTATTAAATCAGTCCTTATGTTCTAAAGGATATTTAATTTTAAAAGTATTCCATCCATGCAGTGTTCTATATATGTCAAACTTTTAAGTTGCATGGTTTTGTATTTTTATTAATCTTTATTATTATTTATGTTACACATTATCAGTTTCTGAGAGTTGTATTATGATCTATCACTATGATTGTACATTTGCTTATTTCTTTTTAAAAATCCATTAATATTTTGCTTTATTGATTTTTGAAGGTGTTTTACTTGGTGCATACATGAGTAGTTATACAATAATGCTTGTTTTTTTGATCCTTTATATGGTGACCTTCTTTTCCTAATATTAGTTTTGCTTTAAGAGCTATTTTGTCTCATACAGGAAAATTGATAAAAGGAAGCTGCATCAGTTTCCTTTTGTGTGACATTGTTTAGTATATCATGTTCTCATTTTTCAACTTTTCTATGTGCTAAAGTTCTTGATGTGTCTCCTATAGTTGGGTTTTATTTGGGGGGGCTATATATACCATGAGTTATATTTTTGAATCTAGTTTGACAGTCTTTGTCTTTCACTCGAAGAACTGAATCCATTTACCTTTGTTGTAATTAATGATACTTTTGGATTTATATCTGTCATCATATTTTTTATTTTTAAAAACAACTATAAAGTAACTACAGAAGAATATGCTTCAGTACATTATAATGAAATGTATTCGACCGATCCACGACCAAGTTAAGAATTAGAACATGACTAAGACCACTGCAGCTATCTGTGTGCTCCTCCCCATCCTATACCCGTCTATATTCCATCCCAAAGATAATTACTATCTAGAATTATGAATACACTGATTATTTAAAAATCATTCTTATCAAATAAGCATAAACCTCTAAAAATATGTATCTTTTAGTTTTACTTGTTTTTGAGCCTCATAAAACAGTTTTATAATTTATATTGCCTTGTGGGATGTTTTTTTCCACCCTCATCATTACTCTTTAGTGTTATCTATGATTTCATTTATAACTTTAAATCATTCATTTTACTATTAGACTATATCTATTTAACCCATTTTAGTATTGAGTAATACTCTCACCACTCCCTTTAACCTCCCCCTATTTTTTGCTATTACAAATAATGTTGCTATTACAACAGTTTGTCTGTTTGGTGGTGCAGACTTTCTCTAGGGCATATCTCTAGGAGTGGAATTGTTACCTTGGGTAACAAGGTGTACACATCTTAAATTTTACACAATGATGGCAAGTTGCTTTTAAAGTTGTTATAAAAACACTCCAATATTTTAGACTTGTGCTGATCTGTAACCATATTGATACTTGTTAATATCAAGATTCCTTAAGCTTTGCCAATAGCATAAGAATAAAATAATATCTCATGACAAATAATATCTCATGACAGGGTCAACAAATATGAGTACAGTTCATTTAATGGTCTCACCTTTTCCTCTTCCCCCACCTACTCTCACATAATGCATAGCTATTGAGAGCAATACAAAGAAAAGATATCAATTAAAAAATACCAAAAGCAAAGGACCTTAATTCCTCAATGAGACAAACATGTAAACCATGTGCCCTATCTATCTATCTATCTATCTTAGAACTGGAAATGAAAATAGAGATGGTTGTTACAGGGACATGTATTAACCCATTTCTTTTAACAGAAAAAGGAAGCCAGACTTTTTCTGACAAAAGGTAATTCTGCTGTAGCTGATTGTTTTGACAGTGCAAATTGGCTTTACCCACTAGGTTTTACGATATATAAATTTCATAAATAAAATAAGCTAATTTGTATCCCAAGGCTTTGATCACATGTGCACACACACACAGAACACAATAAACATAATTTATTAAATATGTTATGCTGTCAAAGGTAATATAAAATTAACGTTTTCATTTTCTTATCCCTCTAAGTGAAAATGTAACAGGTATAACTACTAGTTTGTTATTTTTTGTGGGGTTTTTTTTAATTTTTTTTTTTAGACTTAATAATGTCTTTTTGGTTTACATCTCAAAAAATTGAGAATGAATGACTTCAATGAGGAAAATGAATTCTTTTACAAGTTAGGTGGTTTACAATATTTTTACTTTCAAAAAATTGAACAAAGACATTAGAGATATTTAAACATAATTTTACATAATAAATAACCATGATTTTTGGTTCACTGAACTGAAGGATCTTCATAACAAAATTCACTTATTTATGTGAACAAAGAATGCAAATGATCCTATAACCTGTCTGTTTCTATCAATAAATAATATTTATACCTGGATACATGATATAATTAGAACAATAGCTGAATCCATCTTACCATAAGCTATTTCCAATAAAAACTTACTTTTATACTAATTTTTATCAAAAATTAATTTGTTGCTTTGAGCACTTGTATACTAAAAGCAATTATAATGATAACTCAGAAGAAAAAAGTCACATAATGACTATAATCACAGAAAACAAAAACAATTAAAAATTAGATACTCATTTTAATCAAAGACTGCCAAGCATAAAAATATTGTTTAAAAGCATAATACACTGTGAGAGAAATGGATTGGGAATACAGTTCAAAGAGAAAAATGAAATAATGTAAAATGCCCACTTATCAACAACATTTTCACATAGCTTTTGAATAGATGATAGATATATCTAATCACTGTGGATCTGCTTTTATTACATACATTAAAAACTGATGCAAAACGCCAATTCAAAATGTAAACATGTGAAATGTATTATAAAGTCACATCCTTTGCAACTGTTCAAACTTTTCCAGAAAAAGTTTAGAACCTAAAAATGTGCAAAGTAATATACGGTTTTTGTAAATTCTTTTATGGAATACCTTAATAAAAACGGAGACTGATGAACCAGAGCTTGCTTGAATCTGCATTTGCATAGCAAGCACATGATTTTTACTTGGGTTTTATATTTATCTGGAGTAACTGAAGTCCTGGGGTGACTGATGGAGATTATGGGGTGGCTACTTTGTTTTCATCTAATGATATTATTTAACTCATTTCCAGGCCTGCTATTTACAATCTTTAGGCCTCAGACAAGTGGCTTGAGTACTCAAATTCAAATAAATCAGGAAATAATAATGACACGAAACAGCTATTATTTATTGAGCACTTATTTAATATCTACAACTTTCCTATGAACTAGGTATTATTAATGCCTATTAGCAGATGAGAAAGCTGAGGTTTTAAGAAGTTAAATGGTCATAGCACAGCAGGCAAAACCACTATAGCATGTATCTGTCTCGGTTATCTCATCTTCAAATGGGGATAATAATACTGACTTCATAATTATTACTCAAATACATTTTCTTTGCAAAAGCAGATAAAATTATAACCAATTTTTTTGGTGGAAAGTGGAAAGTTGTATATATATGATCAGTTAGAAATAAGAACACATTTGTGTGCACATACACATACAAACTGAAAAAAATAACATACTCTTTATAACACACTCCCAAATATATTCTGAGCTTTGTTTCTTCTCTTGGCGACATGATACAGACTGCTGACTCACCATAGACTTGATGTAGCTCCGAAAGTAATTAATTCAGCTAGTTTAAATTTCTGAATTTGAATTTTATAGCTTAAGTGTACCTGTCAAGAGTAATTTGGTTGCACTAAATCTATGCACAGATTATTTGATACTGCTTAGTCTTTCAACTTACTTCTTGGGTAGCTTCATTTTTTTCACCTTTTCTTCAGCATGTTCATCTGATATACCCACATGACATCCTAATGCCAACAACGTCCTGGAAAACAAAACCAAAGATAAGCTGCAACAATCCCTTCCCTATGTCCAGAATAGCCCAAAATGATAGTGATGGAAATGAGATATAACATTCCATCCTGAAAGCACAGCATAAGTCTTTTGTTTTTAAAGCAAAAGGGAAATTTATTTATAATTTACATTCTAATCAGGGGGAAGACACTGAAAATCGAAATAGCACAAAAAGGAATACATTGAAAAGTAAGGTTCCCTTCAACCCCTTCCTTCTAAGTATGTTTCCTTCCCCAAAGGCACAGATTGCTACCAATACTTGTATACCCTGTTGGAGAGTCTATGGATACACTAAAGCAAATATGACGGCATTTCAAAAGGTTCATGGAAAGATTCATATTATCTTCTAATTCTATTTTTCCACAAACCTTTTGAAGAACCCTCGAATGATGAGTGTGTGTTGTTGCTTTTACCTTTTATACCAATAGGTATACACAGGAGACATTTCTCTGTAATTTTCTATTTTTACTCTACAATACAATACAATTGATATCACTGTCCTTTCATAAAAAACTGGTTTACCTTTTTAATAGTTCTTAAGTGTTCCATTAGCTGGAAGTGTCATGATCTTTTTAATCAATTCCCTGTTCATTGTCTTCAAGGCTATTTCCAACCTTTTGCTATTATAAACAATTCTGCAGTGAATAGGCTCATATATTTAATACATGTAGTAATACCTACATCTTAGGGTAAATTCCTAGATGTGAAATTACTGGGTCAGAGGGTATGCATATTTTAATGCTAGACAAATATTGTCAATATCTATAGAGTTGGTAATAATTTACATTCCCATCAGCAATGTATGACACTGCCGGCTTCTCACACCTTTACCAGCACAGATGACCACACTGCTTGACTTCTGTCAGTAAGTTTCAAACGGTATCTCGTGATAGTTTTAATTTGCATTTTTCTTATAAGTGTTTAAGATATGTCTGTACTTCCTTTTTCCTGTGAAAATATTCTTTGCCTGCTTTGACACTAAATCTGGTTTTTGTTGTGGCATTTTTAAAGCTCTTCAGGGCCGGCCCGGTGGCGCACTGGATAGTGCGCCGCTTGGGAAGCGCGGCAGTGCTCCCGTCCGAGGGTTCGGATCCCATATACAGACCGGTTCCCGCTCACTGGCTGAGCGAGGCATGGGGGCGACGCTGAGGGTTGCAATCCCGTTGCCGGTCCCCGGTCCGGTACGGGGGCAACACTGAGGGTTGCGATCCGTTGCCGGACATGGAAAAAAAAAAAGAAGACAAAAAAATAAATAAATAAATTTAAAAAATAAATAAATAAAAGCTCTTCAAATAATGTCTGAGATAATGAGTTGCAAATATTTTTCTTTTTGTCTTTTTACTTTCTTTATGATGTTCTTTCTATTCAGTTTTAAATGTTTTTATATAACTGACTTTTTCTGTCTTTTTTGAAGGTTTCTGGGTTATATGTGATATTTAGAAAGAGATTCACCTATACTTAAAATCATTTTAAGAGAAATGTATTATGCTTTTTGTTTATGGGTGGAGGGTGGGGGGAGGCTATATGGCTTGCGGTAGGATTTAACTTTATTTTTTTTTCCAGATGAATACTCAGTTCCATCAAAGATATTTAATGAATAATCCATCTTTTCCCAATAATTTGAAATACCACCTTTATCATATACTAAATCTCCAATATTATTTCGAATCGACTTGTGGACTTTCTAATCTAGAAAATTCTCATTTTTGCATAACATTTTGGGGTCTAAATTTGCCAGAAACTGTTTATCCATTTTTTAGATTTCCTATATTTCTTCCTCCTCTGAATGACCTGTTCTTGATTTTTCCAAGAAGTATTCTTACCACTCACATTTAGAGTTCAACCTTTAAAGTCCTCCAGGCACATATAGAACAACTTGTCTCTAACAGCCACAACAATGAGTGGTTTCTCCTGTCTCAACAGAATAAGATAAAATGGTATATCCTTTTTGGATCACAGAATTTCTAAGATCTGGTCAGTTCCAGTAGGGTGTGGGAAGTACCTAAAACCCATATATACTTATCCTCTACAACATTTTTAAAATGTGTGTGTAGATGAATGTATAGATAGATATCCATACAGATAGATTAGACAGATATCTATTTAGATGAATATAGATATAGATAGCCCAGCTCCGTGGGAACTCGAAGTTGACAGTAATATTTGGATTTATCTTAAATTCAGGCTATTAAACCTATGAGGAGAGGCCCATCAAGAAATCTTCTGATTATAATGTATCATCCCAAGCTGATCTGTAAAAACAGGCAGCAAATGTGGCCCACTCACGAGTATTTTGGTGTGTAAGACAATTGGAAGTACTATCACTGCAAATTAGTACCTTAGCATCACACTTCATGAATGCAGTTAATGTGAGTCCACACTGAGACAGTCACGTGGTATGCTGAAATCAAAAACAGGCCTGAATCATGGAAGATTCAGCTAGTTAATGTTATTCTTAAGAGCTTCTGAGAGAGAGTCAGTGCAACTCTTCCCTGTATCTTCAGCCTGCTGGCCTATCCCACCGTGTTACAGACTTGTCAAGTTAGTGCAACTGTGTGAACCAATTCCTTAAAATGCATACATACATATATATATTAGAAAGGGGGAGAGAGAGAGCGAGAGGAGAGAGAGAGAGGCTACTTCAAATAGTTCATGGAAAGACTCATTATCACTTAATCATATTTTTCCACAAACTTTTTGAAGTACGGTGTGTGTGTGTGTGCGTGTGTGTGCGTGTGTGTGCGCACACGTGCATACAGACATCCTGTTGGTTCTGTTTCTATGGAGAACCCTGATTAGTATATGAAGTGAGGTCCTCAAATACCACGCTGAGGGAATCACACTTATGTAGATGGTCTAGGAGCCACTGAGGTCTATGCCTGAGAAAAGTATAATCAGAAGTTGTTAGGTAGAAGATACACTTTTTAGGGCCAGCCCAGTGGTGCACTTGGTAGAGTGCAGTGCTTGGGAGCGCGGTGGCGCTCCCGCCAAGGGTTCGGATCCCATATAGAGACCGGTCCGCTCACTGGTTGAGCGTGGTGCGGGCGCAACACTGAGGGTTGCGATCCCATTGCCGGTCGCAGTATGGGCGTGACACTGAGGGTTGCAATCCCGTTACCAGTCATGAAAAAAAAAGACAAAAAGGAAAAAAAAAAAAAGATACACTTTTTAAAGTATATCTGATTTATTATTATTTCCACTTTTGTTAAATTTATAGAGTTGTGTGACTACAACCACAATCCAGTGTTAGGACACTTCCATCACCCCATCAGGTGATGGACATTTTCTGGACATTTCACAGAAATGGAAAACCTACAGCATGGTGTCTGTTGCATCTGGCTCCTTCACATAGTGTGATATTTTTAGGTTTATCAATGTTGTTATAGTGTATATCAGTAGTTTGTTTCCTTTTATTACTGAATAATATCCTATAGTAAGTCTATACCACATTTCGTTCATCCATTCATTAGTGGATGGACATTTGCAGCTTCCAGTGTGCGGATACTATGTATTATGCTTCTGTGAACCTTCATGTGCAAGTCTTCGCATGGACATATGCTTTTATTTCTCTTTGGTAGATACAAAGGAGTAGAATTGGTAGGCTGTATAGAAAACTTATGTTTAACCTCTTTAAAAACTCCCAAACTATTTTCCAATGTGGTGGCACCATTTTACATTCCCACCAGTAATACATTTGCATTTCAGTTTTCCATCATTTCCACCAACACTTGGTATGTCTGCCTTTTTAATTACAGACATTTTAGTGTATGTGTAGCAGTGTCTTGTGTTTTAATCTGTATTTTCCTAATGACTAATAATGTTGAGAATCTTTTAATGTATTTATTAGCCATTTGTGTATCTTCATTGGTAAAAAATATACTTAAGTGTTCTACTCACCTTTCTCATGGCTTGTATGATTTACTGTAAATCCTACAAAGACAAACTTGCATGATATACAAATATTTTTTTCCCAGTCCGTGGCCTGTCTCTTTATTTTCTTAATGGTTTCTTCTGAAGTGCAAAAAGTTTTACTTTTAATGAAGTCCAATTTATTGATTGTGTTTTCTTTTATGAGTTACGTTTTTATTAGTATTATATCTAAGTGCTCTATGCCTAATCCAAGGAGGTTTCAAAATGGGAGCAATAGATTATTTTTAAAAATCTATTTATTAATGCCTTTGACCACACCAAGTTCTTTGAATGAAGCCTGTTTGGTCTCTGTATTATCTTTATTAAAACCATTTTATCTGATGATTCAACACGTTTAATGAATTTGTTTTTTAAAAGTCTGCTGAAGGGCTGGCCCATGACTCACTTGGGAGAGTGTGGTGCTGACAACACCAAGTCAAGGGTTAAGATCCCCTTACTGGTCATCTTTAAAAAAAAAAAAAAAAAGTCTGCTGAAGGGTGTTGACAGAAGCAGCACATTATGAAGAGTAAACCGCAAAGCCTATGAAGAGGCAGCTGCTCTGATGTAGAGAAGAAGCTGCTCTGATGCAGGAAAGAAGAACAGAATAAGGGAAGCATAAGAGGACTAGCTGACAGCAGGTTCTTGGTCTTACTCCTGTTTCTTCCTTAGCGTTTTGCACATGCATTCAATAAATATTTACTACTAGACTAAGCAGCAGGAATTGGTTAACGTGGCATTTTCATACCTAAATTACACAGCCCATAGCCACAGAAGGGAAAACAGACTGCCACAAAGCCATAAAAACAGTAGGCATCCTGTAGGAAGGCATTTAGTATGTAAAAACCTGGTTAGAGACTGAGCTTTATCTTCTATTCATTCATTCATTCCTTGACAAATATTTACTGAGCTCTATGTAGAGTTGGAAAATGGTGAAAAAAACCAAGTGGCATGTCTGCACTCATTAAACTTATGGTCTTATCACCTGAGCCCATCAGTGATTCCCACACACCTGGGAAGCAACTACGCTGAGAGGTATGGAAGGAATGAGAGCCTACAGGAGG